TATCAAAATAGTTTACTGATCAAGTCAGACTATAAAAAAGAAAGTGTTGGTACATAAAAACTAAAGAATTCTTTTCGAGTTCAATCACAGTGCTAGTGTCCGGTAATGTAAAAAACAAAAAGAGTTAGATAACAAAGTACTATCAGTAACCAATAGTACCTGAACAGAGATTATCCAGTAAATTATTCAAACAGTTTGGAGACTTTTATTACTATTTATATTAAATACCAAGTTCCTAACTTATTATTTAAATAACTACAATAGGCTAATATAGAAACAAGTTATATACAATGCACCTACATTTTTTCTACATATTTTAGTAGTTTGAACTATTAAAAAGGCTTTTAAAAGTCACTCAAATTTAAGTAACATTACTTTGAAAACATATAGTAGTAGTAACCCTATATTAATTGAAAATTTATAAATTAAAATAGGATTAAGAACAGATCAGTATATAAGAATATTACATATGCGCACACACACACATCATTATAGCCTGTACTTTTACAACTAACCTCAATAAGGTAATCAAATTGTACATTCAAAGCTGTAAAATATTTCAAAAGGACATAAAAATATGAATTATGGATTGTTTAATTTTCAAGATTAACTTATTAACACCAACAATATATAGATTACAACGTTCCATTAAAAAAACAAGCAACATTAACCAATTAACTGATATAACAAGCTGCTTGATGTTGCAAAGACATAAGCTGATTAAATAAATATTTCATATAAAAACCTGAATTTAAATAAACATAAATTCAGACTTTTATTCAAGTTAACATTTTTTTCTACATATGCTATATACCTATCATTTTGTCTTTTGTTTCAGTGAAAATTTTAATTAAGAATCAAAATTTAATGAAAAAACAAACTTTTTTCTGATGGAATAAAATCATTAAACTTTAAAGTTGAATTATTAGTGTTTGTTTTTGTTGATAATTAGATAATTTAATTAGCTTTTTTCTTATTCCAAAATTACTACAAACTCTACAGTACTGTACAAAATGGTGCTTGGATCTTTACTGAATATCAAGTAAATGAACTGAAGAACAAAGTTGTTATTAAAAATGATTAATTAAAAATATATTACACTTATTTTGTGTATCTTTGGGAGACAAAAAAAAGGGGGATAATGAATCTTTACATTTTCTGTAAGTTTCACCTACCATATTGGGTACAATAGATTCATTAGTTTAGTATTTACATATCAACATGAGAAAAGCTGCCATTGCTAAACGTTCAACCACTGTAGTATGTTAGAATCAAGGAATGTAAAATTATATTAAATTATTAATGAAGACTAAAATTAGATATCCTGTCTAAAACAAGTAAACACAACAACAACAACAAAGAAAAAGGAACAATGAAAAGGAAGAACACTAGTATATTTAATGTGTTCATAATTATTTAACAATGTTTTATAGGTTTCCAAGTTCTTGGACTATTGTACTTCAACAAGGAATACAAAATACTGATTGAAACAAAAATACATGAAACTTTCATATGAGATCGTTAGGTAGTATTTCACTGCAAGTACTGCCAACTGTGAAAAGAAATTCCATTATTTTGAACTTTAACTATTTATATATATGATACAAAATCAACTTAAAAGTTTAAAAACACAAGCAGAACTGCCTCTAACTTTTACAACTCTTCATCAATAAAAAATAACATTCTAGAAACCTTATGATAAATATAGTCATATGACACTTTTAAGCATGCCAGCATGCTTTAGGCCTTCTGTACAACCATAAAAGGCACATTATTACCATTTGATTTTGTTTTAAAGTGTATATAGCAAGAAATTAAGTACATACAAAATTCTAAACAATAACAACATGTAACTGGTGATACACTCATTTGAACTTGCATTTATATTAAAATTTATGTGCTATTAAAATAAAATCAGATGAAAATCTGTAAGTAAAAATAGCATAAAAGCATTTCTATGAAAGTACCTTGAACATTGAAAGCATTTTTATAAAAGAAACTTGAACATTAAAAGCACTTTGTACACTAAAATACCTTACCAGTGCCTGCACTGTTAAAATATCGAAGTACATTATAAGTTCCAGAGAAGTTAACCAAATAAAGGTTCGTTTATGTGAGCTTGTATATTTGTATATACAGTGTAGTTGGAAAATGTTTAAGTACAGTATCTTTCAACACTAGACTGAAGCTGATTAACAAATAAAAACTGAAAACTAGGTGATTATATATTCTTACAGTTTTACATTTACTACAAAACCTCAAATCACTTTCTTTGCAATTATTATTTATTACCTAAAAATAAAAAATCTACGAAAAGTTCTAAAAAAATCTACCAGGTTTTGGACTGATTGTAAAGAAACAAACAAACATTTTAAATTTTGGGATCACACTGACTTTACCATGACCTAAGAAAGGGCATTTATTGATCATAATAACTGCAATAATTAAGTAACTCGCATATCAAATTGATCAATACACTCAATGTAATAATGAAATTTTATCATGTTTCTAGTATGGAAACTTGTTTTAATTCACATTTAGCTTTAATGTCTTCAGACAATGTCTAACAATGGTAGTATGATTAAAAAAACACACAAAAAATCTATTCATTCAACCCAAATTACTTATGATTTTCATGAAGATGTATAAAATATAGTTATCAACCATTATATATATTTCAAACTTTTTAAATAAATATGTATTCCAAGTTAGCAAGCAGCTCTTTCATTTTAAAACCAATCAGGTATGAATCTAACAAAGAATCTAGTGAGCAGCATTTAGTCACTTCAACAAACTTGCTGACAATCATTATACAGCTTTCAATCTCTGAAGTCAGTCAAATGTACAAGACCCACTTAAAATTACTTTTTCAAGTCCCACAACATTTCATCTTTTTATAATTGGGTTTATAAGTGAGGCTGATGAGACTGTCTCTGTTTGGTTTGTTGTGATCAGACCTCTGGGAAATGATCTTTTCGATGAGATATTCAATAGCTTCATCTGTAATAGAAAAACTTTTTCAGTACTAATAAACAAAACAAAAATTAATACGAGATCAATTAAGACTATTTGGCCAAAAAATGAAGTCAATAACCTCATAAAAAAGATGTTACAGCAACCTTGAAAAAGAAAAAAGTTTGTAAAGAGAAAAATATTTATTTAAGTAGATGAAAAGTTGAGAATTTGACTAACTAACAAAAAATGTTCTTTTTTTGAATAGTAAAATATTTTCATTACTAAAAATTAACTAACAAGATGTTGAAAATTTTAATAGAAATGAAATGTCATACATTTTCAATATAAAATAAATGTAAATATGTTTGCACGATAGATATATGGAACAATTTACTCTCAAAGATCAAACTTCAACAAATATGGTAAATAAAAATATTAAGTATGAATTTTTTTTTTGTGAAATGTGAAACTCAGGATAAACCAAAATATATAATTTAGCTGTTAACCTTCATTTAAAACAAGTAAGAAACATAATCTGTTATTCAAGATAAAATAGTTTATCTAAAAGGATTATGATGGTACAAACATGCATTAACTGAAGATATAAACTTATAGACAAGTTAGTTACAAGTGCCATAAAAAATTCTAACTCGTATGAGAGGACCAAGTAATCCACTGTGTCAAGAATAGTACAGAAAACATTACTGATCAGATTGGAATGTTGTTGGCAACAAATGCAAATATAATATACAATAAACAGTATGGAAGAAACATGTCTACCACTTTTCCCTTTACTGAAGAGCTACACTGAAGAAATGTATCAAATGAACAAGAAATTCAATCAGCTAATAATGTAGGTAAATATGCACAAAAAGTAACTATGACATCATTTTTATGTTCAAAATAGAAAACAAAAACTTCAAAGTTTTCCTCTTAATGCATTAAATCATCTTAGGAATAAATGTTTTCTGCTTAAAAGTATTTATCTTCAAAAATTAAAGACCTTTTTACATTTTGTGTCTACATAACTGATATTTTACAAAATGTTTTAATTTATTTGTTATTAAGCAAAAAGCTAGCTGTACAATGAGCTATCTTTGCTGTGCCTATTACAAGTATTAAAACCCAATTTTAGAATTATAAGCCTTCAAACTTACAGCTGAACCACTTGGGAGCATGTTTTAATTTAAAACACAATCAACATACACACGTTTTTGTGTGACCCATTCATTTTTTTGTTAAGAGAAATTTTAAGATATTTTATATGCCGAGACAAACAAAAGCTTTTTTATGGCAGTAGCATTTGCCTTCTTTCTAACAAGTTAGAAGTCTCCAAGTATTAATTTTAAATTATTCTAAATTATTCTAAATAAAAAAACGTCCAAATTCTAACATGGTTGACTTGCTCACAACTTGAATTATTAATAACTCAAATATCAAAATATACTCATGGTAGTAGAAACTATTATAATTGCGCAAAGAATATATTTCTATGAAGTCATTTTATATCACAACACTCTATTCTATTAGTTTTCTTATTGTGGTTTGGTTAATTTCATTTTACTTTTTTTGTGATTTATATTAAATTCAAGGTCAGTGTATGTCAAATTACATTAGACTTTAGCTTTTCTAGTTACTGTTAGCATGACAGAAAAATAAAGTTTTATTCAATAAGCAAATTGCCAAGTTACTTATGAAATATTATATTACTGTAGTTATATTTTTTTAACACAAACTTATCAAAAGATTAAAACTTCATGAGGCCATCAGACAAGTATATGTGAGTTCAGATCATGGTATTTTGAATACGAGTATGTTATATCCAAGTTTCATGTACTTTAAATACTAGGTTCTCAATAACGAGTTTGGAAAGAGCTTGGAAATAATTTACAGTATTGATAAAAAAAAAAGAGAGAGAGTTTTGAAAATTAAAATATACCATGAAAGACAAATATTAGTAAAATGTAACAATAATAATGGCACACCTGAATGTCTAAAAAGCTTTGTAATATTGTAAATTGTGAACTAGATAAGTTAAACAATACACAGATATCACATTCAGTTTAATTAAACTTACCAATATTAATATTTTCTTTGGCTGATGTAAAAAACCAGGCTAAAATGTTGTGTTGTTTACAAAACGTTCTCAGTACTTCAGAATTGATTGAAACACCTTCAATATCACACTACAGCAAAGAAACTGAGTAAGTGCCAATTACATGCAAGTGTAATGAATTAATAGCATTACATTTATCAGTTCATTGTAATGATCATGGGAGTGGTTATCCATAATGATAATTTTTAAATATTATAATTAATAACAATTTAAATACTGTTACAATCATAGTATTTTTCATAATATTATACTTTAACTACATTTTCAACTTACAGTATATAATATGTATTATGAAATTGCAAAAAAATGTAAAAACATAAAACTAATTAGAGTGAACTGACATCCACCATGTAGTTGTCAATAGTTTAAACACAATACAGACATGTTTAAAAGGCATTCACAACACAAGGAACTTACTGGCAGAGATAAAGGTCTACAAGTAAAATTATCATAAATTATGAAAAGTAAAACTATAAATATTACTAACTGTCATTCATAATGGTATATTACTGTTGTCCAAAAAGTTGCAGGTTATTACTAACTGTCATTCATAATGGTACATTACTGTTGTCCAAAGTTGGAGGTTATTACCAACTGTCGTTCATAATGGTACATTACTGTTATCCAAAGTTGGAGGTTATTACTAACTGTCATTCATAATGGTACATTACTGTTGTCCAAAGTTGCAGGTAATGGTCACATTACACAGGACGACAGCTTTTTGACTAAATTTATTCTACAATTTGGCATTTTAACACACTTTCTTACCTTGTTTGCTAACAAAATTATTGGAATGGGCTGTCCATTCTGTAAAGTGACCTTGTCTTTAACATCATTGTGCCACTAAGAAAAAAATTCATTCTAAATGTACTCAAATAGTAAAAAACAAATCTACGTAAATGAAGTATAATAAAGGGCACATTAAAATCTACTTATTATAAAATTATCCAAAACTCTAAATAAACAGTGTATTAAAGGGCAGATTGAAAGCTACTCAAGCTGAATGCCTTCACAGTTATTACTTAGTCATACATCTTCGTCCTTTTCAGCTGGGTAAAAATACAAATGTCAAAGTTACCACCACATTTCAATTTTAAATTAGTAACTCAAAAAATGGAATGATGAGAACAGCAAAAATCAGAAAATCAATAGCAGTATGAATGAGTCTTTAAAAGAAAAAATTAAAACTCTTGATTTCTGTTTCTTAACTCATACAGCCATAAGTAATTGTGTTGTTTTGAAAATTGGAATTAAATATCTTTAACTTTTTCTGTAACAATTTCATTATGATGCCTTAAACAGAGAATAATAGAAGTTTTTGGCCAGTAAATTGAATTTGTTTGTTTGTTAGTTGTAAAGCACATTGTCACACAATGGACTATTGTGCTGTGCTCACCATGGGAATCAAAACCCAATTTTCAGTATTATATGCCTTGAGACTTACCATTGAGCCACTGGGTGGCAGTAATTTGAAACTTATAGAAACAAAAGGAGGAAATACTAAAAGAAATATGATTTCTGGCCTCATTAAAATTAACTGAATTGGACTTAGTGTTTTTTATTCTATCAGCTATATGTTTTTGTATTTAAAAATAAAAACATAGAAAATTTTACATTATTTTAACATCAAGCATATTGTTGTATGAAGTACACTCAACAGATCATACAGATGAAGCAAAATAGAGAAACCAAATCATTCAATTGAAAAATCTTCAAAAAATCCAACTGATATGTTTGTTTTGTAACTAAGCACAATACTACAAAATGGGCTATCTGTGCTCTGCCCATCATGGGTATTGAAACAAGGATTCTAGCATTGTAAGTCCACAGACATACTGCTGTGCCACTGGGGGGCCCAACTGATATGATAGACTTTTGTAGTTTTTGGTCTAAGATATGTATGACAATAAATAATTGCATAAAACTTCACAATCTAGAGCATTACCTGTAATTAGGTCAATAATCTCTATCCTCTTATACCATGTGCAAGTTTCTGATTACATAAGAACCTAAAGATTAATACAAACAAAAGATGTTACACAAATGCAAGCTTTTAGCATTTTTTCTTGAAAATTCAACATAATGTAGTGTTGTTCCATGTGTAACAGGAACTCATAACTCAGATTTGTGCACACATTTCAAGATTTACAAAAAGAAATTCAGCTGATAGACCTGTGTGGTTGTTTCTGTTTTTCCTCAAAATTCCAAGTTTTTAACTTACTCTTTCTTTCATCATTCAAACATTATAATTATGCATATCTTGTACCCAACGTTTTTATACCACCAGCAGACCTCTTGGAACTAGAACTTGTTGTATTTATTACATCAGCTTTATTGCAGATAATAACAATCATTTAAAAACCTTTTATAAACATTTTATGTTTATTCTTGTGTCATCCTAACATTTTTCTCCCTTGCCTTATCTTCCAAACTTTTTCAAACACTGACAACTATAATCGCTTTAAAAGCATTACAGTTTGCATTAGTCTCAGTCATTATGCTAATACTAATACAATTAGATTAAGCATATTTTTGAACCAAGGCTTGGTTCAATTTTCAATTTATTATTCTAATTAAGTTGAATAACTGTAGGACCGATATATAATTACGGAGCTGTTACACGAAGAAAGGATACATTTAATAATATAAAGCCACTTTAACAGCTCACTTTTTTAATGCTAAGATTCAGTGTCTCCAAGAGTGGAAAATGTAACCATGAGTTAATTTAACTATGCAATAAATTATTCTATATCACTTAATTAGTCACTATACAACTATAATAGTTTTTTTTGTAGAGAAGGTTCTAAAAATGATATGTTAAAAGTATATGTGAGGTTTGCAAAGAGGCACAATTGTAGGGTATAGCTAAATCCTCAATGATAAAAACACCTGAAATAATAAATACATCCCAAGGAACAGTCACAAAAGTGATGTCAGCATGAATATCAAAAAATAAAATCACATCAGAGAAACATAACAATGGTCAAGAAATAAGTTGACAGATCCTGACAGACAAGTATTAACATGAGTTGCAAGATGAAAACAAAAGACTACAGCACCAAAGGTGGGCAAAGAACTTAACATTAGCCAATAATAAACAATCTCAGTCAAAAACCTTGAAGGAAATTGAATAAGATAGTTTACCATGGTAGGCCTGCCAACCAATCAGAAACCTCTAATAACACCAAAAATTAAAAGCCATAGTAAAATGATAAAACATAATAAACATAAAAGTTGGACTGAAAATCAATGAAATAATGTGGTTTGACCAGATGAATCATCTTGTACACAATGGATGTGTTTAAGTGAGGCAACAAACAAAAGAAGCTTACAACTCTGATCATATTATGCCATCAGTTAATCATGGTGGATGTTCTGTTGGCATAGACTAGAGGTTATGACCTCACTAAAATGATTTTTTAAACCTTATTGCAGATCAGTTTCACTCTAGGATGAACAATTTATTCCCAAATGGGCATGGCCTGTTTCACTAAGACAATGCCCAATTCGTACTGTTAAAATGATTAAAGACTGGTTCAAAAAAATATGAGTATATAAGTAAGCAGATTTAAAAGCTATCAATTGCATCTATGGTCAGTTCTTGAAGCCAGTTTTTCAAACACATAACTACCAGCAACAAAACTTCAAAAATTAGAAGCTTTCATCAATGTGGGCATGTATTATCTGCACATGAAAGACCAACATGATATTAATAAATACAATGTAGAAACGGGTGTTGCACTTATTTTGTCCAGCTCTGTAGGTTTCACAGAAATAATCCTGAAAGAAACAACACTTATACTCATTAGCTAATCCTGCTTGAATTAGATGCTTTCAACTCGTATGAGCTAATGAAAGTTCTTGTTTTATGGACTTTCATATTTTATAGTTTTTTAAATAATTATAAGAGTTTTTTGTGTCAGATATGCACAAAACTGCTTCTATTTTAATACAAAAGTTTTATTTTGGATACTAATCTTAAAATTGTTAAAGTACAACTACTCACCTTTACAACTGATTCAAGAGTTGTTGGCCTGCAAAGAATAAAATTATCCATATTCATTCTGTCTAGTGACATTTACAACAGTGATGACAGTTAAAAGGTAAAAAATAGGAAAAATCTCATGCAGGAGTTCCTAAACAAAGAATCTATATACTACTAAAACTCTGAGATTGTTTGTGTGTTTACTTGTCTGTAATTAAATACAGCAAAAAATGGTGCACAATAACACCATATTTGTAATGAAATGAGAATAGAAACATAATAAAGCAAGTTTCGTTAAAATCGGGCCACGAGTTACAGAGTTAGACCCGTTTTTCGGGTCACTTTTATGAAAATTTCTAGATGAATTTATGTATGCTAGATGGCGCCACATATCGGTTTATCTATCTATCTATTTGTTTTCCACCTGATGAATCACTTTAAAATGTGTTCTAT